GGTGTAAAGGCCATAAGGTTGCCATGTGGGGGATTATGGGTCTTGTGTGCTCTTAGATGTGTGAGTGGTCAAAGAAGGGTCGCCTAACATCATATTTGAGCCGAACGTTACAAACTTTTATCTGTTCTTTAGTTTGGTTCCTAAATGTTGACAGTTTGAGCTACCGACAGCTGTGCTTACTCAAAAGTGCACACACACACCGACACGAATCCCAAAGGTCAAAAACCACGTGTGTTCTTCCTCTGCCTCCTCCCACAAACTCTGTGGGTCAAACTGTCTGTTTTTAGCATTTTAGGCTTCATCACAAAACGAACAAAGTAAACCATTGCATTTTTTATATATCAGAAATTTGAGTTGTGGCAGACGAGTTAATAACTTTTAACTTTAAACAACATTACTTAGATCAGTTCCAATGTGGATTCCATGAGATGCGTTCAACAGAAACAGAATTGCTCAAAGTTTGCAGTATTATTATTAACTTTTATTTAGTATTAACATTTATTTGTTATTAACCTTTATTTAACAAGGCAAATCCCATTGAGATCACAGATCTCTTTTGCAAGGGAGGCCTGGGCCTGAAGGCAGACTAACATGCATGTTTTTGTTCTGTGGGAGGAAACCGGAGAAAACCCACACAAGCACGAGAAGAACATGCAAACTCCACACAGACAGACCCCAGGTCCAACCGGGGATTGAACCCAGGACCTTCTTGCTGTGAGGCAACAGTGCTAACCACTGAGCCGTCGTGCTGCCAAATACTACAATAGTAATACGACGATGGCTGCAGGCACAGAACCATTCAGTTCTGCTGCTGTACATTACTGCACCTTATTTAACAGACGTCTGGATTTAGTGGTGATTGCTGGGATCATGCCAGGTCACGTGTCAGATACAACTGACCTGTTATGTGGGGTACCAGAGTCCAGTCCAGTTTCTATTCTACATCCTCTTCCTTGGACAGATTAATGTATACATTTCCTCTCACTTTAGGCTGATGACACGCAGGTGTACTTCTCCTTCCAGGACTCTTTGAGCCCTTTAAATTGTTTGAAAATACAAAAAAACTGCATTAAATCAAACTGAGCAGACAGGATGTTTATCATGGCCCCCCGACAGCGTGGTACCTCTGATCAGACAACGCACGAGACATTTAAAGGGGTAGTTCGCTCAATTTTGAAGTGATGTTAAATCGTTACAAATGTTGGCGTCTTATCAGAGTATTCAGGAAAAAAAAGACGAAAGTCTTCATCTAAGCTGGCCAAACAAGTTCGTTTTTAATGTTTTTCAGAATTATTGAACAATTCTTTCTCAAAATTGACATATTGGTGCAAAAATATATAAACCTCTACATTTTTGCATGATGTTTAGTTTGTTGCCATTTTCAAAAGCAAATGGTTAACAACAAATGAAGTAAATCATTTTCTGCCCATTAAATCTGGCACTGACTTATAAAGTGTTGCTAGAAATGTATCAACATCATTTTATTTGCTGCTTTGTCACCTTCATTTCCATGGCAAAACAAAAAATATATATGGTGTGCTGGTATTTTTGAACACTGTGACACTTTGGGTTACACCAGCCACTGTTTAGAAATTTGATTTATTCTTTTTATTACAGAATTTTGGAACAAGCGAAAGAATGGATGGATGGATGGATATTACAGAATAAAAAGGTGTGCTTTAACTGATATAATCTTCAACAGTCTAACAACAAAAGACGAACAGAAAATTAGTGTGAACCAAATTTTATTTTAATCAATGGATAATCAATATTTCCAACCAAAAGCAAAAGGGGCATAAAAACAAACTCATAGAAACTTCCTGTGAATTTCTTTACCAACAGACGGCTCTCAGGCCCCAGAAGAGTTTTCCAATACTGATACTTGACACTGATATGATGACGTCATGTTGGAAATGTGACACAAAACTTTTCTTCCAAAAATAAAATAAAAACATAAAGAGTGGGGCGGAGAAAAAAGGATTTCTACACTAAAACACAGTTCCAAGTCCAATGGGAGTAACGCTGCAACACAGACTGTGGTTTTCAGAGGGAAGTGATGCATTACTCGAACGTATCCGTACAATAAGCTCAAATGACACGAGTTCAGGGGATTTCCCAACACGACATCGCCAGGAAGTGGAAATGAACTTGCACAAAGTCTAGAAGTGCTGCTGATGTTAAAGCAGACATTTGCATTCTCACAGATTCTTTATTTTCTAGTGATTGCATAAAAAACTCCTCTGCATTTCCTTTCCATGTGCATGTTGCAGCTCAGCGCCATGCGGGCCGGTTTCCATTCCCGACAGGACATAATACCTGTTATAACAGGTAACGAGAGATTATGGCACAGTCATAAGATAAATGCTCAGTGACAAATCCTTGTTCTAAGGCAAATACAGCTAGTTTTGCAAAATGCCCCTCTACCTCCCAAACGTCTCACCTAAAGTCTAAAAAGGTCCAATATTGACAATCATTATAAAAAAAAGACAATAAAGACAATGAGCTGTGAGACGACCTCCTGTGATAGTGTCATGAAGGAAAGTCTTTTGAATTAGTAAAACATTTTTTATTAATTGGGGTAAAGGTAGAAATATTCTACCAGTGCTGTGATTTTACAACAGTGTATAAGTGTCGGGTCTGACTAGTTAACAATGCAAGTGCCTATTTAATTCGTATTTATATATATATTTATATATATATAACTTCTCCTGAGACTCCAAAACAAGTGAAATTATAGACAAACCAAAACCTCATTTTATATCATCAACACTGCCACGAATATAATCCAAACAAGAAGCATTCATCAGCTTTGGCACGGGTTTCTGATAAGTGACATAGGCCTGTCACGATAAACAATAAATCAATTAATCGCATGATAAATGAAAATTATCTACCTCACTTTCATTTATCGGCTTTATCGTTTCTTTGTGTCCCTCTCTTTTTACTGAAGACACTGGATGACTCTGGATGACACTGGATGGCTCTGGATGTTGTAGGGTTGTGTTGGCTTACGCGACTCTGCAATATTGCGTGGACATCGGGGGAAGTTCCCCTGGATTGGCAGACCGGGGTGGTGGTCCCCCTATTCAAAAAGGGGGACCGTAGAGTGTGTTCCAACTACAGGGGAATCACGCTCTTAAGCCTCCCTGGTAAGGTCTATTCGGGGGTTCTGGAGAGGAGGGTCCGTCAGATTGTCGAACCTCGGATTCAGGAGGAACAGTGCGGTTTTCGTCCTGGCCGTGGAACACTGGACCAGCTCTACACTCTCAGCAGGGTCCTGGAGGGTGCGTGGGAGTTTGCCCAACCAGTCTACATGTGCTTTGTGGACTTGGAGAAGGCGTTCGATCGCGTCCCTCGGGGGGCCCTGTGGGGGGTACTCTGGGAGTATGGGGTACCAGGCCCTTTGATACGGGCTGTTAGGTCCCTGTATGACCGGTGTCAGAGCCTGGTCCGCATCGCCGGCAGTAAGTCGGGCTTGTTCCCGGTGAGAGTTGGACTCCGCCAAGGTTGCCCTTTGTCACCGATTCTGTTCATAACTTTTATGGACAGAATTTCTAGGCGCAGCCAAGGTGTTGAGGGGATCCGTTTTGGTGGCCTTAGGATTGCGTCTCTGCTTTTTGCAGATGATGTGGTCTTATTGGCTTCATCAGATCGTGATCTACAGCTTTCGCTGGAGCGGTTCGCAGCCGAATGCGATGCGGCCGGGATGAAGATCAGTTCCTCCAAATCCGAGGCCATGGTCTTGAGCCGGAAAAGGGTAGAGTGCCCTCTCCGGGTCAGGGAGGAGGTCCTACCCCAAGTGGAGGAGTTCAAGTATCTTGGGGTCTTGTTCACGAATGAGGGAAAAATGGAGCGTGAGATAGATAGGCGGATAGGTGCAGCGTCTGCAGTGAAGCGGGCGCTGTACAGGTCTGTCGTGGTGAAGAGAGAGCTGAGTCAAAAGGCAAAGCTCTCAATTTACCGATCGATCTACGTTCCCACCCTCATCTATGGTCATGAGCTTTGGGTTGTGACCGAAAGAATGAGATCTTGGATACAAGCGGCCGAAATGAGTTTTCTCCGCAGGGTGTCTGGGCTCTCCCTTAGAGACAAGGTGAGAAGCTTGATCATCCGGGAGGGACTCGGAGTAGAGCCGCTGCTTCTCCACGTCGAGAGGAGCCAGTTGAGGTGGCTTGGGCATCTGTTTAGGATGCCTTCTGGACGCCTCCCTGGTGAGGTGTTCCGGACACGTCCCACCGGAAGGAGGCCCAGAGGAAGACCCAGGACACGCTGGAGGGACTACGTTTCTCGGCTGGCCTGGGAACGCCTCGGGATTCCCCCGGAAGAGCTGGCCCAAGTGGCTGGGGAGAGGGAAGTCTGGGCCTCCCTACTTAGGCTGCTACCCCCGTGACCCCACCCCGGATAAGCGGAAGAAAATGGATGGATGGATGGACTGGATGACAAAAGGCTCGACTCTGGTGCTCTTCACTGACTCCCCCATTTCTCGTTTCTTTTTGTTTTAACGATCCAAAATCACATTTTTGGATCGTTAAAAGCAGCTAAGCCGAGAAGCTAAGCTACGAGCTAACAGGCCGACCTCAGGGGTAAAAAAACCCTCCGTCTTGTCAAAGCTCCAGAATTCACGATTGAAACCCGTGCCTTCGTGTAAAAAGTTTTTCTGCAAAAAGAATCAGAGAACTTATTTACTGATTTTATTATTAAAAGCTTTGTGTGAAAAATGCTACGCTAAAGAGCTCAAACCACACCGAGCGGCCGCCATTTTGAGAACCGAAAAACAGGAATGAGAGACAGCCCATGCCAAGTCAAGGGGCCTCCCTCCCATTTTTCTTAAAGAGACACGCTGCTCGCTTCCTCAATATCCATCTTTCGGTTCAAACAGTCTTATACTGCCATCCAGTGGTCAAAAAAGATACTACACACAAAAATTAACCAACATTTCTTCCTAAATTTGACAATAATTGCTAATTATTGTCAAATTTCAAACAATATTATCGTTTATCGCAATAATTTGAGACAGCAAAATTTGTTATCGTGACAGGCCTAAAGTGACATCTTTTCTTGTTCTTGTGCTGATACTGACATGTTTGTCTATCCGTCGACCAACTCCTTTGAACCTGAGCTTTGTTTAGAGCGAACCCAAAAAATGCCGTAGATGCCTGTGAATCGATGATATCCTGTACATTTGGACACAATCATAAGTTTCCTCTCCATATGAACAATGCTGCAACAAACACACACAGTAAAACATGTCTTCTGCAAACGTTCAAGACATTTTGGCATTTTGTCTTTTTTTAATGGCTTCTGGTTTTCAAAAACAGTTCGTAAATATACACTTGGGGGTTTCTGCTCTTGGCTGTAGAATCCAAATGGCAGCGTCCCTGCTCAGTTTTTTTTTGTTGCCGTACTTACCAAAGGTAGCACCAACAATTAGGCAAAACGTTTTCTGTTTGCACAGTTTTGAGCGTGACATCTGAAGTGAGTCCAACAGACCTGCTGGTGAACTGCGTGCTGACCTCTGCTACCAACCTGTCCAGCTCGTGCCACGTCTCGCCTGCTCAGTGTCTTCTGGTGCCACCAAAAATTTGCATCGGCAACGAAGATCTATCGGCGTATGTAACCTGGGATGGGTTCGTCTTTAAGAGTGGAATGGTGAGGGAGCTGCTTCCTCTGGGGAAGCCAAAAAGGTGAGGCTGAAGATGATGAAGGCAGGAAAGAAGGACGTCTGGCTTCACCTCATGGTCCGTTCTCGTTGTAATGGAGGGAGAGGGGTCGCTCGCGCTGCACGGTGGGCATGTACGGCCAGTTGTAGCTGGAGCCCGAGAGCAGCATGTCACGAAGTAGCGTCTCGATGGGCGTCTTTCCCACCAGGCGAACGAAAAACAGCTGCTCAATGACCGGAGAGGAGACGATACGCAGAGAGGGGAGACGGAGGAGGAGGCGTCCAAAGCGGTTGGGCTGGCTGGGATACTGGTTCCTGACGTACTCCTCCAGAGCACACTGGGACTTCTCCTGGATGCTCTCAACGTGGGCGACATCCGATAACCCCATGGCATCTAAAGGCAAGAAAACAAATGTTAAAGTTCAAGTTAGAGCGAGGAGAGAACTGTAAAGTGAAAGTAGTCAAACGAGAGTTAACGCAGAAACGTGGATCAAGAATATTTTTTAAATCATGTCAAGTTAATTCATGTGTCGTCATTATTTGAACAATATTTGTTTAATTTTAAAAAATCAAAGCTTAATTAGGATAATTTTTTGGTTTAGGCCAGATAAAGACCAAAAGGAACAACTTAACATTTATAACATTTATTTTGAAATTTTTCCTGTGATCTTAAAGCAATATTTGAAGCATAAAGTAATAAATATGTTACATGTTTTAATACATTTATCAACTTGTGGCATAAAGCCTTAATAAAAGTACACCCCCTGCTGGTTTCTGTCCAAATTATAGATCTTATAGATTCTTGTGGTTTGTTTGCTCCTCGTTCTGTACAGCAAGCTCCCTTTGTTAGTTTAATTTAGAAAGTTGTGTAATCTCCCCCCCCCCCCCATCAAAATAGTCATCTCATGCTCAGCAAGAAGCTGATAAAATGTTCAGGGACACGTTCCATCCTGGATATAAAATAGAACAGAAAAGAAGCAGTAAACGAGAAGAGCGACGTATGTTGCCGTTACTGAATCATGAGGGAAAAGCTCGACGACTTTCAGGAAGAGTAAGTCGAGCTGCGGTCTCTGTTCCTGACCACCTGTCCTCCTGGGTGCTCCTGAGCACGAAGCATCACGCCTTTGTCTGGGTAACTTGTCAAACTGGGTAACTGAATCAGACTCAGGTCTGGGCTCAGTTACAAACTGAACCCTGTGCATCTTTGACTGCCTCCATGCTGAAGTACGAGGTCCCAGCACGCAGCCCTGAGGGCTCACTGAAGAGGCTTCGAGGCTTGGATGTTTTCAGAAGACACTAATTTAAGTCCGCGTTTTCACAGACTGTATACAAAAGACGAAAGATAAATTTTATGTCACCAATTGGTTTGTGAACTTCAGTTTTGAAGCCTTTTTAGTTTCTTCATTTCTCACCATCAGTGAGGAGGACGTGCACGCTCTGCAGCAGACGTGCACGCTCTGCAGCAGAGGTTCTGACCTCAAGTCAAGTCAGATTTATTTATAGAGCACATTTAAAACAGAAACTGTTACCAAAGTGCTTGGACCTGGACGTAGTAACTCCATCCAAACAAAGGAGTGACGGCAGAGGCGTCTATTAGCAATTAGCAGGTGTTGTAAAGTCCCAAACTTCATTTAAGGACTATTTTTAATGACTATTTGAATTGTTTAAAGTCATTGCCTAAACCAAAATAAATTAAAAAACAACATCATTAACAAGTAACCAGCTCTGAATAAAATTTAGTTTGAAGTGTTCAGAATTAAACGACGGCTAAAACTAGAACCAGTTAAAATCTTTTCCTCAGTGGGAACGTTTGCCCAACATTCATGCACAGTTGTTGCTGCACAGATCCGGACTTCCTCCCCCCCACCCCCCTGATCTGAACTCACTTTCCCCTTTGCTCATGCTTTGCCTTCCACCTCATCATACCTCCCCCTGGTGGCCCCCTCCTCGGCCTGAGGCTCACACGACAGAGTAACACTGTGCGACCGTTTTCACACCCTGTGCGCAGACAGAACAGAGCGATTCAGTAAAAAGAGGTCAGAAATGTGTGAAGTCTAAACAAAGACATTTTACTGTACGCTGCTGCAGACGGTCCTCTGAGCCTGGCCCCTGGGTGAACCCACATTTGGGAGTCAGGTACCCGATGAGGGCAATTTATTCTCAAGCTCCGTGTTCGAAGCGTCGGCCTGAGAGTTCAAACCCGTCACCATGTATCACTGGTCCGCCACGCTCTGATCTGTCCCACATGTAAACCCCGCCCGGCTGGGCCTCACTTCTCTGCAACAACGTTTTAATACACTTCATATTTTAATCAAGCGTGCCAATCTTTCCCCACCCCCCAACGGGCCCTATTCTCATCATTCTGTAAGAATAATTGCTCCCTCTTTGGCTAGATTTCCCTCCACATGGGGGGCAGACGGACTGAGTTTTTGTCAAACTGCCGTTTTGGGTCCTGCGTGACAAAACGGTGACTCCCTGGTTGGGATTAACGGAGCTGTCTGCGCAACTGAGACCATTTCGGGCGCTGAAGCGACAGCTCTGTGGGCGACCGTCCACGCCAAGCACCACCGTGTTCCTTTGTCTGATCCTTGGGCACGCACCGGATCAGGGCGGCGAGGGATCAGTGTGGCAGGAATGAGATGCCCGCTCGCTGATGCGTCTTGATGGGTCGGAGCTTCACGGGGGGAGCGGACTCGAAGACGATTGGTGTTTGTCCGAGCCTGTTAGGTCATCGCAGAAGTCAGGCCAGCTGCAGATTCGCCTGCGCTGCTGCTGCTGCTACGTTCATATTGGTGACGTCTTCATGAATCTTTTGATGAGCGGTGCTGTTTTTTTTTTTTTTTTCTTGAACTCATTGTGTGCACACGTGCATCTGCCCATGCAGAGAGGTCGCACGTGATGCTCAAGGCTACAGGGGTTATGTAGGTCACGGCGAATCCTCCTTCTCACTGAAACGCACCATGCATAATTCAAGTCCTGTGGTGGGGGGCAGGAGTCCCAGGGCTTGAACTCGGCTTGGAGTTTGGGGTTCAGGGAGCATAAGGAAGGAGGAGGGGGCTGGACGGCTGGTTTCAATAATAGATGGGATCATAAAGGAGAGATGACTGATGAAAGAAGGGGGGAAAGGTGGGTCTGCAGCCACCCACGTGAACAGAAATCGGGGTTCGGTGGAGACGCTGCATCCATGCTGAGTGGATCTGACAAGGTTTGCAAGGAGGAAAAGAAAGAAAACACAATTAAAAAAACACGAGACATCTCAGTGTTGGCTCCTTCACCATCGTTTCCTCCTGGGTCACAAAGCATGATCTCCCCGTGAAGGATCCTCGATGTGACAGCATTTTGTTTCGCAGTGGAGCCCAGTGACTGTCGGGATAAACCTCAACAGCGTTTGTGTATAAGCACGATCAAAACAGAGACGATCTCAGGGGTTTTGTCAGGACTTAAAACCATTTTATTTTGATTTAACCTTGTCTGCTCAGCAGGGAGGACGTATGGCTACATAGGACGAGGAAATTCCCTAAACCGGCGCTGGCATGAAGGAATTTTCTTTGTTGTAGTCTAGTTAGACAGGCAAGGTCAGTGGTTTCACCAGGAAGAAAAATCTAGTTAAAATGTTCTAAATTAAATCTTTACCCGGACCTGTGAACATATGTATTTTCCTACTTTAAATATTAAAAAATATCTAGCTTGCTGAGTATTTTTAATTACATCGTTATACATAAAATACTGTGAGAAGTGTCTCACATAGAGCAAATTAAAAGCACGGCATTCCACAAAGAAATGCAAATTGTCTGCAACCTTTCATGACAGAGTTTTAATTCAAGATGGCCGCCACAGCCATCCACATCTCAGATGTTTTTATTGCTCAAAGTAAATGTTGAGGGAGACTTTCAGATGCAAACACACCAATACAATTGGTGAAGACATAACCAGCGTTGTTTGCTAAGGTTGCTTAGCTGCGGTGGCCATCTTGAATGGGATCAACTTCAAATCAGCTGTAGGGGTTGATTCAATGATTGCTTTCTGAGAGTTTAGTTCAGGTCCACCAAAGGTTCTTGAGATATTTAGAACTCTGCAGAAGCTATAGATATTTGAAGGTACAGACAAACAAATGTGCACGTTGCACGTACACACACACACACAGAATCACAAGCAAAGACACCGTCGCTCCACTTTTGCTCTCGATGGAAAAGGCTGATGTACGAGCAGCTTTTCTACTTCGACAAAGTTGCAGTGAAACATCTCGACTGTACGGAGGAGACGATAAGACGATTTCTGCTGCAGGATTTGAGGTCACCTCTCGGTCAGGATTCACAAAGAGGTTGTGGATTAGAAACAGGAAGCCCCCCCTCCACCCCCAGTTTAAGTATCTGTATCTGTTTGATAAGTTTGTTTTGTAGCATTTGTTCTTCGCTTTTACACAAAAACTGTTATTTCACCAAGGGTTTGATGTTTTCTATTGTATTTTTTTCATTTTCAGAAACACATCTATGTGTTTGGCATGAAGGAATAAAGAACAATTATCTGTATCAATTTTTTTTGTTTAAACCCATAATGTGTTGGATAAACGTATTTTACAAGTGACATCTGGACGATCATGTTCAGTACAGATGAACAGACAGATTAACTTTACCAACTAACCTATATCTCTATATAGCCTGTAAATAACCTATAACTCTATATAATCTGTAACCAAACTGTAACTCTATATAACATTTAGCTAACTTGTAACTCTGTACAACCTGTAACTCTATATAACGTGTAATTAGCATGTTAACTCTATATAACCTGTACCTAACCTGCAACTCTATATAGTATGTTACTAACCTATAATCATAGATAACATACAACTAGCCAGTAACTATAAAACTGTAACTGACCTGTCTCCCTATGTAACCTGTATCTAACCTATAACTCTACATAACCTGTAACAACTTGTTACTAACCTGTAACTCAATATAACATGTAACTAACATGTAATTCAATATAACATGTAACTAACCTGTAACCCTACATAACCTGTAACTAACTTGTAACTTTGTATAACATGTAAGTAACCTGCAACTTTATAGAATATGTTACTAAACTATAACGTTATAACATACACCTAATCAGTAACTCCATAAAAACGAACTAACCTGTATCCCCATATAACCTGTAACTAACCTGTATCTCTATATAACTTGTAACTTTGTATAACATGTAACTAACCTGCAACTCTATATAACACTTTACTAAACTATAACCTTATATAACATGTACCTAACCAGTAACTCTATAAAAATTGTAACTAAACTGTATCCCTATATAACCTGTAATTGTGACTAACCTGTAACTAACCTATAACTGCATATAACCTATAATTAATGAGTAACTCTGTAAAACTAACTAACC